AATAAAAATAAATATAAATAAAATATATTTAAAATTTTAAAGTTACATATTATAAGGTTAAATTGAAACCAAACTTCAGTATGTTTAAAAAAATACTCTTCTTGTATTAAAAATGCATGAGGAGATACACGGACATACCTACATGGCCCATTTTCCATCTTTCTTATTTCCTTTTCAATAGCTGGTACAATAGCATTGGGGATATTTACAAAGGAGTGCCACGTATTGATAATATTTGTCTTCATGGTTAGTTTGATATCTAAGAAGAAACAAATCTTATTAGTAGGAAGACTATTCTTATATGTTTACAATCAAAAGTTTACCTTCTTCAAAGACTTGATAACACTCTGAACATGGTCAACCTCTTTAATTTCCACTACCTAAGTTTTTTTTCTTTTTGTATTCTTTCTTTAATGCAAAAGTAACTGTACAAGAGGGTGATGGAACCAAACCATAAGAGTCCTGCATAATACTAAACAAGTAACAGTAGAAATTAACTAAATAAATATCAAAATGAACATTACCAATTATAAATTCTTACAGGCATTCAAAAGAGAAGGGTGATTCTTGGGGCTGGAGAGACAGCTTAGCAGTTAAGAGAATGGCTGTTCTTGCAAGGGACCTGGGTTTGATCCCCAGCACCTATATGGTGGCTAACAACCGTCCAAAACTCTAATTCCAGGGGATCTGACACCCTCTTCTGATCTCCATGAGCATTGCACAATATGAATGCACATACTTACATGTAGGCAATATGCTCATATGCATAAAATAAAAATAATAAATTTAAAAATTACAAAAGAGAAGGGTGATTCTTAAGTAGTATTCACACTTTCCCTAGAAAGGAAAGGTTAAAGATCCAGTCCAGGCTTTGTACTTACTAGGCAAGCTCTCTACTACTGAGCTAAGTTCACAGCCCCCTTGGTATTCCACCTTTAAAGTAAGGATGCAATTGATCCAAATTTAGAGCAAACCCCCTGAATTATACTGATTATATTCTAAGCAACACAGTATAAAAAGCACTGGCCTAAATTGTAATCAAAATATTATATTCTTCCGATCAAGCAGAACCAAATCTTGAATCGTTATATGGCTGCTCCAGCACGCATCAAGTCCAGGTCACTGCTGTCTGCTGTACAGCCTCCTCTACCTGCTTCCCCTACCAATGATTTCTATCCATGCTCCTTGTAAAGGGCCTTCCCTCCACTCTGATGGGATCCGCCCTAAACTGTCAGTCATCAGAAGGAATAGGTCCTCTGATGTGCCTCTGGATGCAAATAGTTCTAGAATGGTCCTGTCTACAGAGGGGTAAATGCTTGTCCTCTCAGTGCTCCAGTGTCTTAGTTACCTTGGCCTGAAAGTAACCCACCCCCTTAGGAAAGCCTCAGCTCAAAAGAATATACCTGCTCCCACAAAATCCATCAAATGTGCAGCACCCTTTCAGGACTTTCCCTGGAAAACTTTGGAAAGACCTTTTGATGTGGGAAGAGGAGGTCTTATGAGTGCAGATGGGGCAAGAACAGAACTGTGCTGCTCAGAAACATACACATTCATATGGGTGTAAGGACTCCGTGGGCCCAGGGACATTTAGGTTATGTCATCATCATGCATGTTCAAACCAGGCTTCTATTAAACATTTACCCAGTAGCTAGACCAGTTAATTGTTTAGAACCAGGAGCTATTGATTGTTAGGCACTAACAAATCATGCAAGATTAGTAACAGCCCAGCAACAATGTAATAATTGTTAAATATTTTAGTATCACACCTTAATGGTTTTATTTTTAACAGTGTATGTTTATTTCTCAGTGCCTCAATTACTTTATGAGCTCTCTAAATCAGGACACTATCTCAGAAGTTCCTTCTTGTCCTCCAATCTCTGTGATGATAGCATATGATTCATATGTGTTCATAAGTCATTTGCTTGGTTACTAGTCCCTCAATAGTCTGCTACTGTAGAGATTGTGTTACATGTTTTAAAAATAGGAATAGTGATGCTGGGCATGGTGGTGTACACCTTTAATCCTAGCACTTGGGCAGTAGAGGCAGAGGTGAATCTCTATATGATGGAGGCCAGCCTGGTCTACATAGTGAGTTCCAGGCCTGCTAGGGCTATAGGGAGACCCCCTTTTAAAAAATAAATAAATAAAAATAAAAAAATAAAGGAAAGTGCTATGAAGTTAATCAGAAATTTATAATTTATATAACATATTTTCAGTGCTTGAACCTGCTGTAACAACAGATTTCTATGAAGGAACAAAAAGCTATCGAAGCTGTGACTCTTCAACGGAGCCATGTTGTTTCACATCTCTGTGCCTTCGCTCACACACTCCCAGAACAGAAAGGGTCACTCGTTTGAATCTGGTCCGTGCTTCCCATCTCTCAAGTCCAAACCGATGACTCCTCATCCTTGAGCAGCTAATCATTTCCTCTCTTCTCTGCTTTTACAATGTATACACATTTCAATAATTTTACTTTATACTAAATTTCTGTGCACCCTATCTTCACAGCTATACCTTAGCCTAGTATAGTATATACTAGGTTACATATATAAATATATATATATATATAGTATAACCTCTATTATATACTATAGAGACTGAGAGACCTTTGTTACTGTAGCAGAGTGCTTGGCATATTTGCAGCTACTCAAGAAACACTTATTCAGTGAACAAGTCTTGATTTGTTTTCGTGGTGGTGGGTTTTGTTGTTGTCATTTGTTTGTTTGTGGTGCTGAGACTTGAACCTAGGTAGGGCTTCACACATCCTATGCAAGTGCTCTATAATTACATTGTTTTTACATTTTAAAATCTAACTTCACAGGGCTGGAGAGATGGTTCAGCGGTTAAGAACACTGGTTATTCTGCAGAAGACCCGGGTTTGAATCCCAGTACCCACATGGCAGCTAACAACTGTCTGTAACTCCAGTCCCAGGGGATCCAACTGCCTCTTCTGACCTCCACAGGCATTGCTGGACATGGGTGCACTTACTTACCTGCAGGCAATACACATATACACATAAAATAAAAATAAAATAAAATTTAAAAAATAAAAATAAAATCTAACTTCACATAACTTTCCATTAGACTTTCTGAAAATATGGTAAGTTTACTATGATTTTTTAAATGACTGCTAAGGTGTTGGATTTGGTGGGCTGGCTCACAGCATCCATTCTTCTCTCCTTATCACATGCTTTTGTGTTCTACATGTGTAGGAAGAAATAAAAACATCTGCCTTCCCAGATTCCTTTGCAGTTCAGATTCTGGGTGTCACCGAGGGTTAGTGAATCATATGTACATATGTATGTACCTATGTACATATGATATGTACTTCTATGATACCTGGAAGGTAGAAGGGAGATGAAGACAACCTTGCTATGGCTGCCTGTAAGAACCAGGGGGGGACCATTGAGTTTTCTAAGGTAGCAACCCCTGATCAATCCCTGGCATCCATGTAAATGCCAGGCAGGCGTGACAGATTCCTGGGCGCTAAAAGCATGTCATGTCATTTATGCTGGAATAGTTATAGTAAGAATGGGTTGCCTCTCAGGGCTACTAGTGAGTGGTTTCCTGAGCCCTGGATCATCGTTTAAGTGACACATTCCTCAATAAACAGCTCCAGTGTAGCCCTCTCACTGCCCACCTTCAAGATTATGTGAGAGAAAGAAACTCCCCCGAGGGCCAAGACTAGGTTACTATTTGGGAACCATGCCTGGAGTTCAGTCTGGAGTTAACTGCCCTAAGCCTCACAATGCCTGTAAGGTCCTAGTTCCTTAATAAATGTAAATATAAAAAATTATATATAAAGCTCTTTATATTTAAAAGAATCAGCGTACCATTAATTTTTTTTCTGCAAATAAACAGAATCTCTCTGATTCTCAATAGATAAGATGTTGTAGAACATTATCAAATGAGAGGAAAGGTAAAGAAAAGACAGAAAGGGGAATATAAAAGAATAACAAGAAAGAAGGCCAGTGGAGGAATGGACAAGAAAGAGAAAGACTGAGGACATGGTCCAGATGTTGTTTGGAGAAAATGTAAGAGTAATGTTGTGGTTGGGGAGAGCATCTGCCATGCAATCATGAAGATGAATTTGAGCCCTGGTATCCATGGAATGTCACGCAGGTATGTCAGCCTGTCTGTCATTCCAGCACTTGGGAAGTGGAGACAGGATCCCCTGGGCAAGCTGGCTAGCTAGATGGGCCAAATGAGTGGGCTCTGGGTTCAAGTAAGGGACTTTGCCTCAATAATATAAGTGAGGAGGGATCAAGGAGAAACCTGACATCAACCTCTGGTCTCCACATACATGCACACATGTGCATATGCATACACATATGCTAATACACATGCAAACCTGCATAAACACACACACACATATATAATACAAAAGAATGTTAATGGCCAAAACTTTCTGCTTCCGTTTGAAGATATATGTAATAATTTCCAGCATTTACTACAAATTTTTATACTAGTTGAAACTTTCAAGACAATGAAGAGTATTGTCTAATTAAATATATTTATAGATCTTTTATTGAAGGATCAAGACTGACTACTAATGTCTCAAGTTCATAAACATGAGAGAAAATATAAAGCAGGGTGAGTTGGACAGGGAATGGCTCAATTGTAAAATGCTTTCCATGCAATCATGAGGACCTGAGTTAAATCCCCAGAACCCATGTAAAAGCTGGGTGTGGTACTGCATGCCTATAATCCTAACACTGGGAAGGCAGAGACTTCTGAGGCTCACTGGCAAGCCAGACTAGCTAAATCAATGAGCTCTGGATTCAGTGAGTAGAGAGAAATTGAAGACTTCAATAATTTCTTACCACATCCCTTGATTTCCTCCCAGAACTTAAGGAAAGACCGTGTTGCTGAAGACAGACATACTTTGAACACAGGACTTAGAACAATGGAGCTGAAACTGACCTGGAAGCCTTCTCCCTGAAGACTAGCTCTCATAGTTTTAGAGGATACTATGCAAGCTGCTAAGGGAGAACATCAATCAGTGGTCCAACCTCAGCTTCAAAGCCTAATAACCACAACGATGACTGGCAGAGCAATCTATATTGGTGCAGTGGTGCCACTTTAATCTTGGGAGTAATCAACAACTGTCTAATTGGACTCAAAGCCCACTCAATGGGAGGGAACTAGTGTATGGCACAGTAAACATAGCCAAATACACATGACTGGAGAGGTCATAGATCCTAGAGAAAACCTTACATCTGTCACATCCATAGACAAATGCAATTTTTTA